CTTTTCCAACCCCCTAGCAGCAGCTCTGTTGGAGGCAGAACCCATGTAGAGTTTCAGACTATGATGCAAACTTGGTTCCACTTCACAGCAAACCTTTCATTACCAAGACCAACCAAGCAGCGTTGGGTTCACATAGGGCCTATAATAGAAGTTTAGTTGGACCAAAAGTGGGACTTGTTTCAGATATGCCTCCTCCATGTTCTTAAGAATTCTCCATTAGTGCTAAAAGCCTTTAGCCACCCCTTTGCTCACCATAGCTCAGAGAAGTGACCTCTAGCAATCTAAAAAAGCTGCAACAGCAGATGTCATTCCATCCATTCAGACAGTATTGATCCACTCTCTCCCTCTGCCAATTACATGTGATAAACTGTTGTGGTGCTGAGCCTAAATTATTGCAATGATTGGGGTCAATCATCGGCCCCACAAACCACGGCTAACTCTGCTGCTGAAACAGGTTTTCTTCTTTTGTTTTGTTTTTTAAACAATGAGCTTCATCTACTGGTCACACAGGCTTCTAACACAGGAGGAGATCCTGACGGTTTAATAAAAGAATAATGTGAATCCAACACTTGGACATGCTCACAATTATCTGTCTGTCAGTGAATGGAGGTCATTAGGACTTTATGAGTCCATAAATAAATGATCAGCATACTCTATGCAGCGCAGACAGCAGGTGGCACTGTATGACGTATGTCCTTTCAGACCGATGTGCTGCTATTTTAAGCTGAAAATTCTGTTGATGAATTTTCCATTTAGTGTCTTAAACGTATGCTTGAGCATTTATAAAAGTCAAGATAAACCTGAGGTGTACATGGCTCTGTCAGGAGCAGAGTTTTTTTTAAAAAAGCAGTGCTGCATCTAAGGTGGTCTGTGGGGATAAAACCTCTGAGAGGGGTCTGTTAGAGCAGACAGGGTTGCCAAATGTTTACACGTCTCACAAAGGTATTTCCATTGTCCTCTGGGATACAATCAGCACAAAATTCTCTCCCAGCAGGATTACAGAGATAAGATAGAGCCTGAATGGCCTTTTCCACTAATCTAACACGGACTTGTTTACAAAAAACTTGTGGTGCATTTTCAAAAGTTCTAACAACTTCACAGCGGTTTGAAAGAGGAAGTGGTGAGGAATCTCAGTGGTCTGGATAAATGTGAGGACATTTCTTTCATTCTGTCCCCAATGACAGACAGAAACTTCATAAGTTAAGGCTGCTCTGACTCTGTCTACTTCCACAAAGATACGTTTTGACCACAGTCAGGACCTCAAGAGAAATGTGCTTTGAATAAACAGATATTTTGGGAGAAGGGGACCCCACAATTAGTAATTTGAGACTAGCTCTGCATGAGGGTCCCATTCCAATTCTCTGGAATCAATCAAAGGTCCCAAAGGAACTCCCTGGTCCCCTTAATCTCCTGGTTTTATTACTTTCCAGACAGTCAGCCTGTTTCACCCAGCCCCCATCTCTCCCTTTTGTACTGATCTCAGCAAACCCAGGAGTGTTTCTCCCTCATTCACACATACACACACCCACAGTTTCTTTACACTACTGCAAAGACACTTCTGATCCAGGAAGATGACATGTCATCAGGCAGGAGACCCCCGCAGCTCACAGAGCTTCATGCTCCCAGGGCTAAACTTTACACATCTATTATCTTTAACATGCAAAATAACAATAACAATGGGCCTTTACGTAACTTGCTTTCTTCTTGCATATCTGAACAACCATGGGGAGAACTGGGAATTATTGAGCAACACATAGCTGTATTTGCAGTTTGCAGAACCACATGCCGTCATGTTTGATAACGCCTGCCAGCATGAATGATAAAGGACTGTGACACGATCTGGAGAGTGATAAAAGCTGAGCTGTGTGCACTCCAACAGCATGGAACACAGCTTCCTTTTTAACCCCCCACACACGTTATCCAGTGCATCTGAGACACAATAATGACATAAGGACTTCATTGGCGGTGGTTGGTTGTTGTGTTAAGCACAATGCACGATTTCAACGCAGCAACTACAACCATGACCTACAGATGATTCCAGAATCTACGTGTATTTCCACCATCATTTCAACACCTTGAACTGAAAAGAAGTCTCTTCTACAACATTAGAGACCTCTACTTGGACAGCCTGTTGATGGGGGCACACACTATCATGGCAAACATGTTAAGTTTTACTCTACCTTTGCAGATTAAGGATTGTGCTTTGGAGACATTTATCTGACTGTGAACTGCAGACATCCAGACTTTTTCAGTGAAACGGATATAAAACCAAGACTTGAAGAACAACGAACACAGCAAAAAAAAAAAAATCACTGCACCGAGATATCAGCCAAGGTTTGCTTTATGTACATAGACCACGTCTGTACTGAGACACATAACAAGCTAATCATTTACCATGGTGCAAACATATAAGGTCACTGTAAGAAAGAAGGATTTCATTGTTCCTTAATATAAGGCAAACATATAAAGAAAGAAGGATTTCATTGTTCCTTAAAAACTGTTGCCTGTAAAATAACTTCAACACACTGAATACAGAAAACATGCTAATACAGTCTTTAAACTCTTTCACAGTACAACAACATTTCTCCAAACAGTCCACCGGCAGAGGAACACATAACATTTATCTTACACTTATCTTTATTTGTCATTGTGACACAGCACAGCACAACGAAATTTACCCTGGGTTCATTTACCCATCACCAAAGTGAACAGTGGGCAGCCGTGGTCAGCGCCCGGGGAGCAGTGCTTGAGGACTGAGGTGCATCTCAGCGGTAACCTGGCAGTTGGTGGATTCGAACCTGGGGCCTTCCGGACCGAAGTCCGCTTCCTTTACCACTAGGCCACCACTGCCTCACATAACAGTACATCAACATTACCTTGCAATTGCAACACATGAAAACCTGGTAATGACCAAAGCTCAGAGGAGCTCTCGGGGTAGAAATGGAAATTCTGTAGAAATCACTTTAACATAAAATACTCTTTAACCTAATGATATGAACCATGATATTTC